AAAGGCGATCAAGGCGGAGTTGCAGGCCATGACATCGCACTTCCAGCTGATAAGTGATGTTTGTCAGTTCAGAAGAGATAGTTTGGTATGCAGATTTTCAGATCCTTCATGCGTTTCTGACATCGTAAGGTGCAAGACATTTGCTTCGGTCCCAATGAGTGCGTTTATCCCGCCTAATTTAGCGTACACTAATGAAATCGTACGAGGAGTCGACTCTAGATTTACGCCCGCAGAGACTCTATATAAGCTGTCTGATGCTGGGGTCATAGCTGTGTACCGGTGCAACCGATTAGTTAACGGTGAGAAAGTCTCCACTGAGTCGGCTGTCGCTAACTTTGCCGGCACTTCCTGTTCATCCGGGTTTAAAATATGGCCGCTCATTTTCAGAGTCGAACGTCTCGCTTCTCGTGCTCTTAATTGTCAAACTTGTTCGCGTTTTGGTCACAGTGTAGGGAGCTGTAAACCGATTTCACGTTTCCGCATCTTTGGCTATGCCCATCCATCAAAGTAGTGCAACGCCGAAAACAAAAAGTGCTGCCTCTGTGCAGGAAATCATGCGACCAATTACCTGAACTGCACCGCTAGGTCTAATAAAACGCAACTGCTAGAAATCATGGACCGACGTTGTTGCTCGCGTCGAAAAGGAATAACACTTGTGAAGAATAGGGCCTTTGGATATGCCGGAGTCACTTCAAGGCACGAACAACTAAGTGAGACGAGGATTCTGAATCTTATTCAAGCTGCAGTAGAAAGGGCGATGTTGAAAGCGCTTGAACACACAGTTACGATTGTAAAGGAGTGCATCTCTCAAGTGTTTTGCTCCCAGATGACACAGCTGGTCTGTGCAGTAGCAGTACCAATAGCCAAGTTGGCACCTTGTGCAGCGGAAAAGATGCCGAATTCAGCCCCGCAGCGGCAATCCCGAGAGAAGAAAACCCCAATTTTTTCTGTACCTTCTACAATGACCCACCCGGAGGATCAGAATGAAATGGATGTATGCCAAGATTTCAGGCGTCAGAAGCGCACTGGATCTCCTGTAAAATTTCTTTGCTCACACTCAAAACCTTAAAAGGGCAACGAAAATGGCAGTGCACTCATTAAAGAGGGTGTTTTAGAAGCTGCCGTTGCTGAAGTGTTTCGCTCGTCAACATAGATACCTTCAAAGTACTACAGTGGAATTGTAGGTCTTTGATTTCTGCTTCTACTGACTTACTTTGCTATATTAATCATTTATATCCGGATATAACCCTAATACAAGAAACTTGGCTTAACCCTGCTAAGAATTATCGTGTAAACAATTTTAGATCATTTCGGCTAGACCCTCCATCGCTAGGAGGTGGTCTAATTGTACTAGTCTCGAATAAATTTTGCCGCAGATCCAGCATAGCTTTTTAGCTTATGTCCTCAGACTGTGAAATTTCGGCAGTAGACCTCATTCTGCCAGGGCACCGTTCTTTTTCACTTATAAACGCATATTTTCCTACGGGTTTGCATATTACTCAACAATAATTACTGCCTTAGCTAATTGCAAGAATGATTTCCTTCTAAGTGGTGATTTCAACTCACATCATGTTTCTTGAGGATTTCGAACAGACCATTCCTGTACTCTTCTGTGGGATTGTATGATTAATAAAAGCCTTGCCTGCCTAAATGAAAGACAGCCTATATTTATTTGTTGATGTACACGATCGGTATTAGATCTCATGTTTGGCAGCTCGAGTGTTTAAATAAAGTCTTGGAAAACGATTGATTTCTCTTCAAACAGTGACCATCTTCCTGTATATTTTGAAATATTATGTGCTATGAAATCTATTGAAAGAACAAGAAAAACATTGATCAATAAAAAAAATTAAAGACTGCTTGTATTCAAACATTAGGGCACTGTCCAGTGGTCAAAATGCAGATCTCGGCAGAAATGTCTGATTCGCTTTAAAAATCTTCAAGAACGAACACCTCAGAATTTTTAATTGCTTCATCGTCAACCAAAAGTGCCCAACCTAGTAGATGGTGGAATAATTAGTGCACACGAGACTATAGAAGAGGAAAAGCTGCATAGAAAATACCACTATATAATCAGAGTCCAAAAAATTGGAAGGGTTATCAGTTCATAGCGGCAACATTTACACGCACTGTATCGCGAGCGAAAGAGCAATTTGACCAAGAACATTTCGAGTACCTGTCTGAATCAAATAACAAACGTGATTTATTCAATTTTCTTCGTGCTAGGAAGAAGACCCCTATACCAGGAAACGTTGACTCAGTAGTTCACACCTCACAAGAACTACAGGAATCATTAAATCGATTGGCTGAACGATTAGAGAACTGGTTCTCAACGCATCTTTCTAATTCGGCTTACACAACAGCCATGTATGACTACACAGAAATATCGACTTCCGAATTAAATCATGCTATGGAAAGATTGCCAAATGGAGCACCAGGCCCCGATAGATTAACAAATACAATGCTAAAAATACTACACAGGAAATATCCGAATGATCTTTTAGGTTTTGTAAATTATTCCCTTAGAAGAGCATGGATCCCTTCTGAATGGAAGATTGCGAAAATTGTGCCACTGCTTAAGAAACAGGGGGCAGACTCTAATTTAAACAACATACGACCGATAGCTTCAACATCAAATGTAGTAAAGCTTATTGAAAGGGTACTTCATGGTCCTAAAATTAGGTTTATTAACGAGAAACATCTGTTGAGTTCTTCCCAAATTGGCTTTGTATCTGTATATTTCATATGGCATGCACATGTAGATCTGGAAAGTCGTATTCATATTGCCCGTCAAAAAGAGCAGTTTGCGGCTTTAGTAACGTTAGACATATATAAAGCATACGATAGTGTAGAGTATTCTGTCTTGATTAATCACTTATGGAGTCATGGACTTCCACCCTGAATGGTAGCATGGGTGACGGAATTTTTGTGTAGAAGAAAATTCTATTGTTATCAAGGCGGTTTTTCTTCCCGTAGGCACAAGCTAACCCGAGGTGTACTTCAGGTGTACTTTACCCCGTATTATTCAACATATTGCCTAGTACCATCCCCATTCAGCCAGATGTGAAAACCTATGTTTATGCCGATGACATTGCTTTCTTTGCTATGACACATGACTTCCACTGTCTTTACATTGACTTGCAAGCATATCTAAATGAAATAGAACAATGGCTGGATGGATTAGTGATGAGCCTGAATACCAGTAAATTTGCTATTCTCGTTTATCCTGTCCAAGATCCTGTGCACATATCTATTAATAACAAGCTTCAAGATAACCCACAAGTACAATCATTGAAATATTTTGAAGTTACGTATAATGAACATCTCAATTGGCGCCCTCACATTGAATACATCGCGACAAAAGCAGTACGCTCGATGGACGTATTGCGGAGGCTGAGCAATTGTAGATCAGGTATGAAAAGGAAGGCCCTTTTGTTCATATATGAAATGTATGCCCGACCTGGGTTAGAGTTGGACAGCGTTCTTTTTTCTAGTGCGCCAGCCTACAAACTTCGGTCGCTCGTTCTATTGGAAAGAGAAGTTTTACGGCTCTGCTTGGGACTTCTAAAGTATACTGCAAATGCAGTGTTATACCTTGAAGCACGAATACCAACACTATTATGTCGCTTTAACATTCTTACTAAGCAGATTTTTTACGAATATCTGAAGCACCGTTCAATGCTGAACAAATTATTTTTATTTCCAATCCTGACCTATTCTTCTTCGTGCATTTGCCCTGATTTCACAAACCACAAATAGTATTTGTTCAATCGTTACTTGAGCCTCTAAATGTAGACGTTCGTGAACTGATTCCTTTAACTGAGCAACAAATCTCTCCAGAAATTGTTTACCATGATATCTTCCCAACTCATGCTAAGCGATTTATTACCTACAGGCAGAATAAATGGTTTATTGCAGGGCCATTTAAGTACTCTGCCAACAAATGTTATTATTGCAACGGACGAATCGCAATGAGATGAAAAATCAGGCGTTGTAACATATATCCCCGTTTTTGATTGGTCATTTTCCCTTCGCATACCAGATTTTCTATCTGTCTTTCTGGCTGAATTTATGGCAATATTGTCAGGTTTGCGAAGGGTAAATACTTTTATTCCAGTCGTAGAAGTCATAACTGATTCATTATTAATGTGCTCTTCTTTGTCCGTGTCCGGTACCTCACCCATACTGAAACTTTTTAAATCATTGGCTCCCTGTCATCTCCGAAGAATTAATTTATTCTGGGCACCAGGGCACAAACGTTTGTTGTTAAATGAAATAGCTCATTCTCTTGCGAAGGCATCGCATGCTGCACCCATCATTCCTATTTTCATCATACAGTACACATTACGGTGGCGTGATTTCACACACTTGAACTTAGGCAAAATTTATCAGACCCTGCACTCGAGGCTTCTCCGAAGTTCAACCACTTGGTAATTCCCTAGCGCAGTGCACTGCCTAATTCAAGGACGACGGAACTTGTCATCACAAAATTTCGTTGCCGCATTACCTCCCTCAATTTTCACTTACATATATCAGGTATATTGAATTCCCCTATGTGCATTTACTGCAATCAATAGGAAACGATCAGTCATTTTTATTGCATTGTCGCCGTTTTGATTTATTCAGGCAGAGCATACTAGCACCACCTCTTCAAAAACTGGGCTTGCAATTATCACAATATGATCTCCTTTCATTTGGAGCCTCTACACTGGGTTTCAGCCACAGGGATGTTTTATTCACCGTGCAGGAATACATCACTGTGACTAAAAGATTTTCTTGCTAAATTACGGTCTCACTTTTTTCTTAATTTTTTTCTGCAAGTTTGCAATTTGCATTTCAAATCACTATTAAATAACAAAAACGTTTTTTAGGAATGACGCAATTCTGAAAGCATCGGGCAAATTCACCTTATAATCGGCCAATCCTCTGCTTTGGCTACGAGCCATTTGCACAGGAAAACAACAACAACAAGCAAGCAACCCATCTGCAAATCAACGGAAATGACCCTGTCCGAGTGCCACCTCGTGCAGGAGACCTGGCACGCATTCTGCAGCAGCAACTCGGAAAGCGGCGTCCTCATTTTTGGTGCCTTTTTGACGCAGAACACACACCTACTGCCACTTTTTCGCCGGTTCCGTGCCATGCCCTTGCCGATGCTCACCACCGATCCGGCTTTCCGGGCTCACGCCTGCAGTGCGGCCTACAAAATCATGGTCATGGTCAACAATGCGGATGATCCAGTCCTGTTGGAGAATCTCATCCGAAAGAACGCCCTGGCTCACAATACAGGGGAGGGCGTGTTTTCGCAGCACTTCGAAACCTTGGCAAGAATAATCGTGGGCGTGATGCAGTATAAAGATCACAAAAAGAAGCTCACGCTTCCGGCCTCAGCCGTCTAGAAGAAACTGCTTGAGGTGAACTGCTCTTTATGGCTCTTGCTATGAATTGAAACACGCGAACCAACATATCGTTCACATTCAGTGCTACGGCAGTTATCGCACCACGTTTCTTGTGCCATGGTGTTTGTTTATCGTTCCACGTTTAGAAGTGCCTGCCGCCTGGAAACTGGTACGCGGCTCACGCGCTAACAAAACGTATTGTTGTGCGTGAGAAGTGTTGTGTCTGCGGGCGGCGTGCCGAACGACGGCAAGGGGCCCGACGACTGGACGTGGAACTCGGCGCGCGCCGGCAATCGGCCCACCAACACGAGTGAGTCATTAAAACGCACTCCGCGGTAGCCCAACAATGACTTGACTAACCAGCAGTCGTTTATTAAAACCACACAAAGAAGCGACGCGTACACACGTAATTGGCCCCTGACAATCCTGTGTGCCGGCCTGCAATGACATCTATATATAAAGCACACAACACAAGAAACAGTGCGCATCCTTCTTAATAAGGATGGCGCCACAACACCACATCATCCCCTCCGTAAACGAAAACAGTCATCACAGTCCCGTGAGTGTCCACACATCCAACTAAATTAACACCTCTTCACACAACTATGAGTGGCACCACTAAACTAAATTCACACATCTATGAGTGGCACCACAAAACACAAGATCATTCCAAGATCACGCAAAACAACACGCACTGCAATGCCACAGACAATATCGATGATGTTCGCAATTAAGTCACAAAGTCGTTAAACCACTCTGGGCGCTTTGTGTCACGGCGCGGACGCGAAGAGCCCACAGAAAAAACTTGGTGGATTGTGACCATTTTTGGTCGGCTTCGAAAACCCCGTCGCCCCTTAATTTTCCTTCTCGCCGGAATAGATTTGATTGTGAACAGTTATCGAGGGTTGCCCAACAGGGTCCTCTTGACATCCCAACGTTCCCTGAGGAACCACTGATTCAGACATTTCATTAACCGAGAACTCTGACAACTGAGAGTCTGTCTGAAGATTTGGGGGGGAGCTAACTATCACAACTGTCTATATTAGAATGAGAGTAATTTAATTCTTCAGGTGGCGTAGGACGACAGGAACCCTCAGAAATTACTGTCAGTTTGGAAGCGTTCCACTTCTTGCCATCATTAAGCACAAAAGTAAAAGGCGCAACCGGAGCTTGCACCCTAAGAGGCTTGCTATACTTATAATTTCCTTTCCTATGAAACCATATTTTAACCAAGTCTCCTACATTTAAGCGGTGTCTCTGCGCACCTTTCCTTCTATCAAAATATTCTTTACTCTTTCGCTGTTTTTCCGAGACTCTATTACGAATCTGAGGCAAATCAGCTTGTAACTCTGATACCTGAGGATGGATCCTAAAGTTGCTAATGTCTGTTTTAGAGCGATCTTGACTGCCATGCAGTAAAAAAGCTGGCCAAAGACCTGTCATCGCATGTGGAGTGACTCTGTATGAACTCAAAAATTCTGTGATGCTTTTTGCTGGATCTTTCTCTTCCAGTCTAGCTACCTGTAAATGTTCCTTGAGAACCCCATTCAGGCGTTCTATTTGAGCGTTCGACTGGGGATAATAATTTGAAGGCAACACGTGACGAATGCCTTTCTCTTCAAGATAGTTCTCAAACGGCTGTGACACAAACTGTAAACCGATGTCGGTAACTATTACCTCTGGTAGCCCTTCGGGGCTAAATAACCAGTTCAACAGCTTAGTGACGTCCTCTGCTGATATTGTATTGATTACAAGAACTTCGGGCCACTTAGAATAGTAATCTACCAATGTTACGAGATGCCTTAAAAAGACACATCTAATGGGCCGACAATATCCATACCCACTTTTTTTCATGGCCTGTCTGGCCATTCGACTGGCTGCAATGGCGCCACACGAGGCTTGACAGACTTATCTGCCAGCTGACCGACATGACAATGCTATACATATTCCTCTACAGAACGATCTATTTGCGGCCACCAATATCTATCACGGAGGAGTTGTTTAGTGCGTACTATTCCCTGATGATTTTCATGTGCTGATTGCAAGAAAGTAGGTATGAGTACATTCGGATGACTACACGGTCACCACGCATAAGTAACCCGTCCACAAAGTAGAGATCATATTTAACATGAAAATATGCCATTAAGTCATCATTTAGTTTCATTGATGGCCAATTCATGGATACATACCCACACACTTTCTGTAATGTCTTATCCGTACTCGTTGCAACTGCCCAGTTTCTTTATCGACTACTGATGTCACTATTGATACTATTTCTTCCTCCTGACTAAGTTCTGGACTGTTCTGTAATGGCAGTCTAGACAAGACATCGGCCACCACGTTTTCCGTGCCCTTATAATACTCTACATCAAAATTGTAGTATAACAGTCTAGCTGACCACCTTGAAATTCTCAACGGTTGACGACCGGCATCTCCTGCTGCCAACAAAGCAACTACAGCTTGATGGTCTGTTCTAAGAGTGAAACGCCTAACCAAAAGATAAATGTGCCACTTTCACATGCGAACAGGCCCGCAACCGCTTCGCGTTCACCCACAGAGTATTTCTTTTCAGTTTCTGACAGGGTTCTTGACGCGAATACTACGGTTTCAAGCTTAGGATCACACTGTTGTTGTAACACTGCTCCGATACCAACGTCAGATGCAATGGTTGTAACTATAACAGGTAGATCCGGATTATACATCTTAATCGTAGCCGAGCAAGTAAGACGTGTTTTCAACCGCATAAAACTGCGTTGAGCACTCTCTGACCAAGAAAATTTTTGGCCCTGTCTGAGCATCAGACGAAGTGGTTCGACTAAATCTGCATAGTGGTCTACGAACTTGGCATATTAGCCTGTCAGCCCCGAAAATGAGCGCAATGACCTAATATCTGTAGGAGTTGTAGCAATCACGATAGTATTCACTATACTGTCTAAAGGTGAAAGGCCCTCGGCTGAAATCTTGTGTCCCACAAAACTGAACTCATTGACGAAAAAAGACATTTATCGTTTAACCCCATTCCACTGTTTGCTATACAACTCAAAACTGCAATGAGGCTCGCGTCATGCTCAGACTGAGTCTTCGCCCACACAAGAATATCATCAAGACAGCAAACTACATTTTTGCAATTCTTTAAGACCTGTGATATCAGTTTTTGAAAAGCGCAGGTGCAGACGCCAGACCAAAGCACACACGCTTAAACCTGAATAAACCATCGTGTGTTATGAATGTCGTTAAATCTCTACTGCTCTCTTTCAACAACAACTCATGATATGCCGACGCTAAGTCTAATTTGGGAAAAATAAGTAGCTCCATGAAACATTTGTAATAACTCTTCAACGTGTGGTAAAAGATACCCATTAATGACTACTGCCTTGTTGGATTCTCGGAGATCCACACACAGTCTGATTTTCCCATTCTTCTTGCAGACAACGACGAGTGGCGACACCCACTTCAAGGAGTCAACACGTTCGATGACATCACACTCCTCGAGTCGTCGTAGCTCGGTAGACACCTAGTCACGAAGAGTTAGAGGCAATCGTCGCAACGTGAATGCAACCGGCGTCATATCTGGCTGACGTTGGATTTGATGAATGAAGCCTTGTACGAGACCCAACTCGTTGCTGAAGAGGTGCTCGAAGCCGGACGGCACGTTGGAGGGACACTGCACTGTATATAATGCTAGATGACACGTTTCCGCGCCGTCGATCTGGATGCCCAGTCGTTGGATGGCATCAAGCCTCAAGAGCGTTGTGCCTTTGTCGGTGACGTAAAAAGCAATTATGCAGGGCCACTGTAACGCCGTCACTGGAACTTGAAAAGAGCCGATGACTCTGATGCTCTTTTTTGAGAACTTCCACAGGTCTACGACAGCCTTGTACAGGACATGTCTGCTGAAATGACGCTGGAAGTCTTCGACAGTCACCAAAGATACAGACGCTCCAGTATCCACTAACAGTTGCAGATGGACACCACCGACCACCGCGTGGATGAATAAGTCTCTTCTGGATGAAACACCAACTGTAAGCATGGACGTCACAGGGTAATACGAAGATACCATTGCTGAACTTGACGCTTGTTTATGAGCCTGGCGTTCCGGTACGACGCCGCCAACTTTTCCGGAAGACACGTTCTGGACCTGGTCTATCTTGCAACACATCTTCTCGAAATGTCCCCGAGTGTTACACTTGCGACAACGCCGAGTCTTTGCTGGACAATTTCGGAAAGACAAACGCTGATATCTGCTTCCGCAGCGGCCACACGCTTGATGCGGTAAGTCACCTCGAGACTTTTCATACTGAACTGCAGTCCGGGACTCCGAAGATGACTGTGGTGGAAAGTAATTTGTTCTTTTCGGAACTTCTGTGACGTCACGTCCTTCCGGATACGTTGCGGTAATGTCGCGTCTTTCCCAGTTGCTTCAGCCATTATTGACATTTTTGTTTTTCGCGCCGCGATCTTGAGCGCCACGTCCGATCACTTGAACGCTTTCAGGTTGACCCGAAACAAACGCTCGATTAGCCACGGACAACGCTTCTAAGGTTTGCCCGATTTCTTCGGCCTTCTCTTATGACAACTCTTCCCCATGCGCTAACAATTTCTCTCTAACTCGCGGGTTCGAGGTGCCGTGAATGATTTGGTGGCGGACGCGTTCCGCGTACGTTACCCCAAATTTGCATCTCATGGCCTTTTCTTTTAAAGCCATCACATATGCCAAGAAACTTTCCCCGGGCAGTTGCTGCCGACTTGTGAATTCATGACGTTCTACCAACGGGTTGAGAGACGCGGCAAAAAACACGATCGAGTTGATCCACGAGCGTTTGCAATTTCAATCCGGCCGTAAACGATGAATCGCTTACGGACGCCGACGCGGGCGCCTCGACGCTTGGCGTAATCAACGCCGCATTTCCTTGAGTGTTTTGGGCTTCCTCTTGTTCTGCTGCCACAAAATATCTTCTCTGTCCCTCCCTTCCTAGTAGGCTAACCAGTGCCGACGCGCG